GCACTTTCTGCGATGTATACAAATAATGTAAAAAAATGTATACTTAATTCAAATCATATTTCATAATGTTTTACTGAAAAAAAATCTCATGTCAGACCTAAAAGCATTAAGTTATTTAATTCCGGAACTAAAACGCGGAAACTAGCTTAAGTGCGCTAGTCATGCGCCTGCGCAATCAATGTCAATAGCGAGGTAAACTGGCTTATTTCTCACACCAGCTGTCAACTAGAGCGCGTAATCGTGATGTAACTTTGTCATAAAGGCTTTTGCTTAATTTCAGAACTGTTTATGTACGGGAGACTAGTTAGTATTTGATCTAAAATTAAATTAATTTGGAACTATTTTGTTATTATCGTTATTTTATTTGGCATACTATACCATGTTGGTCAGGTGACAACTCACAACCTAAACCAAACCAACGTTTAGGGTTTGTTTCAAGTTTGCCTTCTCTTTGCAGTGTTCTTCCTTTGCTCACTTAGTCGGGTCTTACGCCACCCACGGGATGAATATGGAGGATTGGTAGGTACTTAAGTTCAAAACTGTTTTTGGGTATGACATGGATTGAAACACACAAAAAAAAAAAAACTGTCTTGCTGATAGAATTTTATTTAACACAAAAACATTAACCAAAAATTTCAAGAATCTACTGTTATATACGTGTTCTCCTAAAATGTTAACTTTCCTTACAGTTAACAAAATTTACCAACATGTGGCGAAGTTTTTAAAAAGTAACATATGATATTATTTACAGGGTAAGAAAATCAAACTAAGTAGACACTTGATTTGAATAAAATGTTTACACTTACACACGTACACACTTACAATTGATAAATTAAAAGAGTTATCTGAGTTAGTTTGCTCGAGATTTTCACACAATAGGCATTCAACCATTAGGCAATCGGCAGTTATAGATTGACATAAGCAGATAAAGTTTTATTTGTTTTGCAATTGCAGCGTCTTTGAGTGTGTTCATCTGTATTTTAATTATATATAATAAAAGAATTTGGTGAGATTTTTTCTAATAGGAAACTCATGTATTATTTTAGAACTTATTAATTACTTGTTTTTTAGCGACTACATCCAAACAAAGGTAGAAGTAGGTCTTAAATGAAAATATTTTGTGATCGTAACTACTTTATGTTCCTTTATTAATTTTAACATGAGGTCCGTCGCTAAGTATTTTATTTATTGATCAATAAATAAAATTCGAGGTGTGTCAGTGGTCGTCACCAGAATATCAGTTTTATATTATGGTTCTCCTTGAACATGTTCCCTTAACTACATACTTAAAAGAATAACAGTTTTGTCACCATAATTTTTTCTGTTGCAAAAAAGTGGCATAGAACTAGATTAGTAATTTTGACGAGCTGATTCATTCAGTAACGATTTCTCCAAGGGCACAATCTTAATGAAGTGACCTTTATGAATTTTATCAGGAATGTTCTACGTCGTTGTCAAATAATATGAGCTCGCTTCGTTGTGCAACAAATCTCTGAGGAGTGTTCGGTCACGCATGCCCTTGTCTTCTGATGGGTGGTTTATTTATTTATTTATAATAACTTAATGCACAAGTTGTTCAAAGGTGGACTTAATGCCTATGGCATTCTCTACCAGTCGACACGACAGGTGCAAGAGAAAACAGGCAATTTGATTTATTTATATTAAATTTATTAATTGAATGTAACTCTAACTTAGGTATAATAAACATAAATATACTACTATATTTATTACTATATATTGAGGTCCCAAATATACATGTGCTATACATAAACATACATACATACATAAATATCACAATACACAGCCAGGTACTAGCGTTTGACCTTTCTGCCGGCTCTTTTTGGAGATGATTCTCTGGAAAAAGTAAAGCGGTTAATGGGCATCCTGATTTCAACTGGGCGTGCAGTTCAGAGAAGAACTGACTGTACATAGAAGGAAGAATTGATGAAGTTCGAACTGTAAGGGGGACAAAGAAGAAGCATATTATTTGTTTACAGAAGATTTCTTTCATGATTGAAGCTTAGGGAACTGGGACGACGAATTGGGATCCATTTCAGTTGGGAACGTAAAGCAGACACATGTTCATACTTGTGAAGATTCAAAACAAATCAAATGCAGTTATTGAGAAGTCGGTCTAGCTTATTGAGATTCTCTGAGTCTGTATTCAGGTCAAAATAAGACACATCACCATAATCGATTAAAGGCATAATTAATGACTGCATGAGCGTGGCCTTAGTTTTAGTTGGCAAGAAATTCTTGAGACAATATAAAGCGCGAAGACATGTAGAGACTTTCTGGCTGACGTGAATAGCTTGTGCTCTCCAGTCAAGTCTCGAGTCAAGGCCGTCATATCCAACCTACTTAACATCTGTTTACTTCCTATGACGATCACTTGACATTTGGTTTGGTTAAGCGACAAACCAAACCTCGTCGACTAGCACCTTATGAAGTCCTAGTCTTTGTTAACTTTATCGATGGCGTGTGACATGTCTTCAGCTCTCGATTGGGCGTAAATTTGCAAGTCATCTGCATATAGGTGATACGCACACTGAAGTTGTTGAGTTACGAGAATAATAAATATTGAAAATAATAACGGAAATAATATGCCGCCTTGAGGGACACCAGTGAAATGATCACACTAACTCGATAACAGTCATGAACATGAACACACTGTTGTCGTCCCTGAAGATAGAAGGAAAACCATTCCAGGGTATTCGAGTACATCATAAGATAGGAAAGGATAGATAGCAGGACATCATGAGATAGATGAGAAATCAATCAAAGTCAGTGCTGTGACCTTGGTGTCCACCTTACGCTCCCTAATATCGCCAGTCACTTTGAGGGGAGCTATAATTGTGCTGTGACCAGGTGTGAACCCGGATTGTAAGGGGCTAAGAATCCTATGCTGGTGCACAAACTGCGATAGCTGCTTTTGTATATAAGCCACGAGAAGGATCAAGAGATAGGGGAGTATAGAAATTGGTCGATAGTGTTCAGGGAGAGGAGGGTTTAATTTTGGGGAAAGTGCCGGCGTCGAGTGAAAAGTTAATAATATGAGATAATGCAGGAAGAATTTGATAGAGGATAGTGACAATCATCCGTCGGCTGATGCCGTCACAGTCCGTAGCGTTGGAATGGATAGACAGGATGATCTTTTTGATATCCCCGGAAGATGTCAAAGGATGGAGAAAAGTCAAAGGATTCAATGTTGAGTAAGGTTAGACCAGCAATATAGTTCAAGGTTTAACTCTTGGTTTGAATATATTTAAAAACAAAAAAGAGAGGGTTAAAAATTAGTTCAGATGAAATTTTGTACGAGATAGTATCGTACGAGATGCCTATAGCTAATCTAACAAAACTAAAACAATATAAAATGCAATTTCTAAACACGTTTCCAACAAACTAACTTATACAAAGAAATGAAAAGTAGGATCCCATTGCACGAAATGCTTGTATTTTGCGAATTATTTAAAGGCAGTCCATTGAGAGATGTTAGAATTCTGTGAATGGGTTGAGGGAAATTTCATTCTGAAAACCTTTGATATTTTGTGAATGATACTTTATGAAATCGTTTGTGTGTAGTTTATAAAGGTCTATTTGGAAAAACCTTGCCATTGATGGGCCTTGTGCAAATAAACACAAAGCTCATCACTTTGTAGACTGTTATTTTTAACAAAAATGTTTTCCGGAAAATTGTACGGGTTGAATTTTCAAGCTCTCTTTGATGAAGTTTTTGGAATAGATATGTGCTCATAGTGTTGTGTTACAGGTTACCTGTTAAAACGTGTTAAGTTAAGTAGGGAACAGACATAAGACGCATTTTCAAGACTTAAAAAGCAGTACTATAATAATTTTTGCCTTTACCAAAAAGGACCTGTTAGAAAGCAACAATTCTGTATTCTAAGTACATCTTCAATTGGGAGCGGCGAGTTGTCCAAACAGATTTGTTATACTCTGGAAGGCTGTTTACAGACAGTACTCCGATGACTACGATTACTCCGTTCGTGTGACCGTTATGAGAAGTCATATTTTAACCGAAAGTCATAAAAATGCTTTACAACAATGTGCAATCATAAATATTACAATGCAATATATATATGAATTATATGCGTTACCTACTCGAAGTAAAATTGTTTGGAAATGAGATATAAATAGACGTCATTTTTTTAAATTATTGCTTTACTCATTATTATAATCATTATGACTGAATAAAATACTTATAATGTAATATATTGAATGTTATGGAGCAATATTATGAGTACTGTTTGGCTGCAGGTAAGTAAAATTATTTGAAAGCAAATATATCTTTAATCAGAGTGTATCTGTTTGTTGGAAATGAAAGGACACATATGTTATTGCTATCGAGTTTGTTGATAATTAAAAATATTCTAACATCTTCTTCGAAGTACTCGTGTAAAGATGTGGTCCAAAGTTAGACCACGAGTACATAACGAGCGCCTCACCGCTCCGTTTTTTGTAACGACTCTGTTGATTTATCTCGCAAAATTGAACTCGTGTTATTGTATTATTATATTATTGTACTTTCTAGATAGCTTAACATCTCTCAGTAAAGTTAAATGTTTGAGTATAAATAATGAGAGGATGTACTTTTTCAGTAATCGTCTTGATTCCGTTGACATCAATCTCACATTTCATCCCGGTAAGATATTTTAATGATGGTCATTATTTCAGGTACATTATTTTAATGCGTGTGTCACAGAAGGTACAAGGAAGTATGTAACTTTGATTTGTCGAGCATGTGCTAACATATGTATATTTCAACCACGCAATGGCGTGGCCTAATTGGTGATCCAGGCCTATTTTGCATTTTAGGTGGAGCCTAAATCAGAGGGGCGACACGCGCTGGTCGAATCGCATATGTAGCTACGTGTGCGATTCGACCAGCGCGTGTCATCTTTATATATAAGTGTGCATTGAAGTAATGACTTCACTACACACTTATGCATATTAGGCATGATATGAGTTTACCTGTATTAAATATGATGTTTTCTATGCCCATACATAGCAATGTGACTTATGTATTAACTTTACAGCCTCTACCGGTCTGCTTAGAAGCAGACTTGTGCAATCACACATGGATTCCAGAATGTGCCCAAGAATGGGATTATGATTACAGAATGTTTATTGATGAGTGCGATGTACTGGAATACAACTGCGATTATAATAGGAGTAAGTGAGATTCGTTACTTACTTATGATATATTTATTTTTCTTTTTACAAAAGACAACTCCTGTACTATGAATATTTTCTGCGTCGCGGGGGACTTTACAAACATTCAACTACAAACTTTATCAACTACAAAGAACACCCAGACCCAGAACAACAATTTGTAGATTACACAAACAGTTGTCCCATATGGGGTTCGAATCCACAACACTCAGCGTAGTAGGAAGCGGCAAGTGACCGCTGAAACCACTACGCCATCCGTGTAGAATTTGTTTTTTTCTTAGCAAATAAGTTATTACTCCGATGGATCTGTCCGCGCTTGTTATACCTGAGATAACACTTATGAATTTCCTGTCCGGTATAAAATGTTTTATTAGAAGATGAAAATATCTTGGATGTTTCAACGGAAAGAAAGATCAAATCCTTTATATCACATTGAAAACAACAATATCTGGTTCCATTTTCAGTAGTTACTGTGAGTTCATTTCAGTTTCAGACACACCGTTGTGTCCAATATTTTGATGATTTATTTAATTATTATTCTCATTTTATCAAAGACGTACGTTTTTAGATTATACAATAACAAATTATTCAGACTGTTTTGGACCAGCAACTTGTCCACCTATACCAACGTGTCCAGCGTGTCCAACGTGTAAGCAATGTAGAATGAGAAGGATGTTCGACCCAGTTGCTACAGTACCAGTGAATCAAAGGCGTATAAAACTTAAACATGACCATGGGGGCCACGAGGGGCATCACCATTTCGTAGAACACATACATTTGGTCGGTGGACATCGGGGCGTCGGTACTCTACCACATACTTATGGAACTGCACGTAAACCAGACAGAACTCGAGGACGAGCAAATCCCAATATGAGAAGGTATCATTTAGTACCGGGAAGAAGACTTAGGGAAAGAACAAAAAAGAAAAAAAAGAAAACTAGGAAACGTACTACAACTACTACCACAACTACTAAACCGAGTAAGAAGAAACCTAAATTGAAAACTAAAACAACTAAACAGGTTCTTTTTTTTAATAGTTTTTTCAAACCAGTTTATGTCCACATTCTATAGGCTTCTTCGAACTCAGAATGCTTTTCCTGCAGCCTAGGGTAAAAGATGGGATTGGGAAACAAGACTGAGATACCTAGTTATCTCACCCTATCCCAATGTGTGTGTGTGTGTGTGTTCCTTCTTCCTTCGTCCCATTTGAAAACTACAATGATCTCAAGTAAGTTTGGCTTCAGGCCAAACCCTCTGCAATGATGCTGTGCGAATGACACTAATCGTTCGAATTCACTATTTTCTTAACGATGCTTGAGTATGTGTTGTGATGTGCGTTTATTACAATATCTAAATATTATTATGCCTATGTCTGTTTTAAATAAATGGTATTACATTATTTTTTAACCTCAGTTAATCTGAGATGAGAGAAATAAAATAAGAATTAGAATGATCTTTTCATCTCGAATACAACGCTATGTTGTCCCAACTTTCTGTTATGTCCGGATACATGAAATGGAGTAGTGGTTATAGCGGTCACTTCGCCGCTTCCTACTGCGCTGAGTGTTGTGGGTTCGATCCCAACATAGGACAACACTTTGTGTGATCCACAAATTATTTAACAGAGTCTGGGTGTGCTTTGTGTCCGTTTATTGTATGTTTGTGAATCCCCCGCGACACAGGATACATTCCTAGTGCGCGAGTTGTCTTTAAAGAAATTCATTTTGTGTACCATGTTGTATGTGTACTGAGTGTAGTACTCGTATAATAATATTTATGATTAGTGTAACGTATACGTACATTATCTTTATTTTTTAATATATTATATATTTTCAGATTATAGAGACAGCGACCATGGCTACTGCATTTAAAACCAAGAAATATACTATTATGAAGAATGGTAAAAAGTACAATAAAGTGGTTAAGTATGTAGTGCTTAAAGTGCCCAAGAAAACTGAAGGGAAAGGGTACGCCATTGAAAAACAAGATTCTGATTTTTTGGAGAAATAAATCATCATTATCATCATTAGCCTATCGCAGTCCACTGCTGGACATAGGCCTCGCCTTTTGCATGCAACTTCAATCGGTTTTCGGCTTCTCGCATCCAGCTCCTACCAGCCATCTTATGCAAAACGTCACCCCAACTGGCCTGTAGGCATCTTACACTACTGTGCGTTTGCAAGACGCGCTCACCGCCACTTCATCCTACTGATCCCTTAAAGAAACGCCGAGCATAGCATTTTCCATAGCACGCTGAGCGACTTTGAACTTGTGGACCAGCCGTACCGTAAGTGTCCACGTTTCGGCGCCGTATGTCATGACGAGCAGGACACATGCATTGAAGACTTTCGTGTTAAGGCACTGTGGGATCGACGATGTGAGTTGTTTGTACCTAACTGCAATGTCTGCGAGGTATACATATTTTGGAACAATTTCCAGGTAGACGCCGTGTAACGTAATCAGTTCCGGTAGTACATGTTTCTTGGACATGACCTTGGTTTATCCAAGTTCCTCCGTAGGCCGATTCGCACAGAAGAGTCAGTGAGGTCATTCAGCATCTGTTGTAGGTCCAGCAGCATCTCTGTCATGATGACAATATCATCTGCAAATCGCAAGTCAGCAATATATTCGCCATTGATATTGATGCCACGCCCTTGCCAGTGCAGCGTCTTTAACATGTCCTCCATGGCATTTGTGAACTATTTCGGGAAGATATAGGAATGTCCCCTTGTCTCACTCCTCGATGTAACAGTATAGGCCTTGTTTGCTGATTCTGTACTTGGACGGATATAGTGGCGGCTTCGTAGAGACATTTCATTTCTTGGATGTACCGCTAATCTACTTGGCAACGCTGCAGGGACTCCAGAACTGACTAGATCTCGATCGAGTCAAAGGCATTCTCATAGGCTGATTAAATTCTTCGGGAATCAAGGGGCTGATTATATTCTTCGGGCGAAATAAATAGTTTATGTTATTTGTCTTTGTTCTTGCAAAAAAAGCCTGTGTGGTCTTTTAGTTTAGAAGTGGCTCTTTCAGTGCACTTAACTTTTACTCGATCCAACGCTATTATTAGGGTTTTATTACCTTTTATATATTAATGAAACTTTTGTAGTATACTAGTATCATTCATGCGTCTATCTATGACGGTCAATAGTTTATATTTATTTTTGTAAAAACAAAAAAAAAGTGTAAGTTTTTTTTACATAAAACTACATATACATTTACGTAATTAGTTTTGATTCAAAACTAATTACGGGTTTCTTGACCTACCAATTTTGACATTTATATCTCAAAAGTTATAAAAATCTTGTATGACGTTATTTTTTATTAAATTTATTCACAATTTTTTCAGGTTATTATATGCTATTAACATTTCATTTACTTTTAATGTAAAGTTAATTAATGAAGAGATTTTCCCTTTGCTTTCATTAAATGTTATGGCTTCAATTGCTGTTTTTTTTTGGATTCCGTACCTGAAAAGAAAAAACGGCACCTTTATGAGACTTTGTTGAGAGTCTTGTTCATAGCAGACTAGGCCCACTCCGCGCTATAACTCACGCGTATGTGACGGTTTAAAAATACGGAGTGTCACCACCCGTATTCGTCCCGTGGGTATCGCAAGAGCCGACTAAGGCCGTAAGCCATGCAGGACAACAGTCGAAATAGAGTAAAAAATATTTTTTTGTTAGCAGATTTTGTTTTCAGAGGCATGCATACATATTTTGACAGACTTTTATGTTTATGTCTGCATTTAAAAAAACCTTTTCACTAGATAACACAAAATAAAAACTCTTTTGGGTAGGTGAACAATAGCTATGAACAATTGTATTTCTATTAAAAGACATAAAATACTTTACTACAATGTGCAATCACAAATCTTACCATTATTTTTATTTTCACATTATTGATATACGATATATTCTCTACTTGTTCAACGCAATCATGTTTTGAAATGAGGAATAAGTATATTTGTCCTATCAAAATATTATTGTTTGACTTGCTAATATATAATGTAGTATATATTAAGCAATACTTCAAAAGTTTGTTATGTGATGGGACAAAAATATGAGTGCTGTTTGGCTGCAGGTAAGAAATCACAAAGGAGATAAATGGCCCTTACAATGTTAACATCTGGTGGTTACTAGGAAAGTAGGATAAGACTCGCCATATTTATGTTTGAGGGCTTGGTCTTTTGTTAGAAGTTCTCTTAGATGTGATCGAGTTATTGTTTATCCCTTAGTCCATCTAAGTAGGTAATGTTCCATTCTTTCCGTTGTCTTGCCTTGTTTAGCTCATTGCAAGAAAATTAAAAAGTAGGCCTTCTTATCTTAAACTTGTTGACAATGAAAGGCTTGTTTCCTATTATGTGAGTTTATCATATTATGGTTTTCAAAATCAGGATGCTCAATTATCCCATCGGGGATTAAGCGCGAGAGTACGTATTTATAATACTAGCTTTTGCCCGCGGCTCCGCCCGCGTGCATATCGCGGTAAAAAGTAGTCTATAGCACTCAAAGATAGTGACCTTTCTGACAGTGAAAGAATTTTCAAAATGGGATTAGTAGTACCTTAGATTACCCCGAACATATAACTCACATACTTTACCTCTTTATAATATTAGTATGATTTGTATGACCCGGGTGCTGGTGTTTTTACTAGTATCCATTTATCAGGCGGCTCAAATGTTTATTTGCACCATGTTTCAGGTAAAAAATACTTTTATATCCTCATCCTGGAGACACCGCCAACATATACGTAATTGCGTAAAATCAAGTTATTAGTTCTAAGGCCGCCCTACAAGGTAGTCCGACGAGCTGGTTAAGGTGGCGGAAAGCCGTTGGATGCGGGCAGCACATTAAGGGCAGTTGTGGAGAGCTTTGGGGGAGGCCTATGTCCAGCAGTATACGTCTTTCGGCTGAGATGATGACGAAAGGACTCCCTTAAGCAAGCATGCGGAGTCTCGATTGGACACTCAAGTTCCCACGCTGACCACAATAAGCTTCTGTCAGTTATTACTAGCTGTTATTTGTTAGTGATTTCGTTAGCAGTATGGTTAGGTTAGAGAAATGATTATATAAGTATTTCATGTCCTTAGATATTATTCTTCCATACATTATTGTAACTGTTTTTCAGTAATCGTTTTGATTCCTCTTACTTCGATTTCGCATTTTATTCCGGTAAGTTACAACATAACACTTTGACTATATATATTTTGCATTTTTTAAATTATTGATATAATGCGACCGATTATTACAGTAGTTTTTTTTAATAAATTTCAGTATAACTTAATTAAATATTATTTTCATATTTGGATGTTACTGAATATTTACAATTAGAAGAAGCACAGAAAGCTTCATCTCATTCCTAATCCACTTATAATTAAATAACAACAGTGAAAATTGTTGTGTTTCTCTCAGTCAATTACTTAGAATTTTTCTAACCATTTCGTAACATGTGTTAATAAACCATCAACTGTGTATTCAAAATTAAGTGAAAAAGCGCAAGAGCTGTTGGAAGCTCACTGTAGAATAATACGATGGGCTAAATTGTAAATTAAAAGGCACAAAAATTACAGGTAACCGGTGACCTAGCACCTACCTACTGCGTTGAGTGTTGCGGGTTCGTCCCCAAACGGGACAACACTTTGTGTGAGCCGCAAATTGTGATTTTGAGCCTGGGTGTTCTTTGTGTTTATTTTATGTATGTTTGAAAAGTCCCCCGCGACATAGGATATATTCCTGGTATGGGAGTACCTAGTCTTTTTTATAAAAAAAAAAACAAAAACAAGCTTACAACACACTAAACCGACGCTCACTCGCAGACTGTGAGTATCTTCAATAAAAAGACTTTGTTTCATTTGCAGCCATTACCCTTTTGCATGCAAGCAGACCTATGCAATCACACATGGATCCCAGAGTGCGCCCAAGAGTTTAATTATGACTATAGGGTATTTATTGATGAATGTGATCTTTTAGAATATAACTGCGATTATGACAGAAGTAAGTATGTAAAATTATTCTACCAATCAGCTTTTTGCAGGTCACTGCTTGATATAAGCCTCGCCTATTATTATGTACTTAGTCCTCTAACTTCTGCATCCAATCTGGTTAGGGAGTGTTCCACTACTCCTTTTTAATACACTTGCATACAACATTAGATAATCTCTGATACAAAACCTTCTCCCTAGCATTTTTCTTAAACTAGGTTATGGTCGGCTTTAAGTCCACTACGATACGGCTGAACTTTGATTATTTACGTAGAGCGACCAGACCTCCACAACCCAAGTACTCGGCGAAGTCGAAGTTCTGTACAAACTAAAAATTGTGGTCCATTATACCTTTACGATATCTTTTCCAGATTATACCATAACTAATTACACAGACTGCTTTACGGGAACTTGCCCACCTATACCCACGTGTCCAGCATGTCCTACTTGCCCACTCTGTAGGAAAGGCAACTGGTTTAGACGTGATGGTAAGAGAATTAACTTCGATCCAATAGCCACAGTACCCATGAATAATAGACGCAGAAGAAATTACCACTATCATTATGGACATGAGGGTCATGAGCATTTTTTTGAACATATTCATTTGCGTAATGGGTATCGAGGGTTTGGTGCCATACCAGCAAATGTTGAAACGGCTCGTCTACCCGAACTTACAAGAGGCCGAGGAAAAAGAACAAGATACAGAATACAGCCTGGACGAAGACTTCGGCAAAGAACTAAAAACAAAAAAACAACTAAAAAAGCCAAGCGTACTAGAATTACTACTAAACGTACTAAGAAAAAGCGTAAAGTTCCAACAAGAACAACTAAACAGGTTTGTATTCTTGTAAAAATAAATTGATGAGTTTTATAAGCACCGCAAACTACTTTCTGTTTGGTTCAGCATGTGATTGTTTGATATGTACAAAACCGTTGATTATAAAACCATCGCTACTTGGTAAAAAGGCAAAAAAAAGCAAAATAGCATAAAATATCAAAATACCAACAGCTCTATTCATTTTCACAAAAACTCTTGTATCATAAATACGTTTTTTTCAAATGTATGTAATGCATACACTAACAGAATAGCACGTTAGTTTGAGACAGACTGTTTTCTTGTTGTAGACAAAGGTTCAATAGCGTTGTACTAAATTCCTTTTTAGCGAAGGTTCGTACTACTTTGCTCCTAAGGGTATAGATCTATCCATACACGTTAACCAATATATCTAACACTTTTACGCATACAAATATTTGTAATGAGGGATCATTTGTATGCCTAAAAATACATTTGCCTATATGGCCTATCATAGCATTATTTGTATGTTTCAGGTAATAAAGACAGCGACCACTACTATTCACCAAACAGATTTTAGAAGAATAACCGTTAAGAGAAATGGCAAGATTTACCTTAAGGTCGTAAAGTATTTGACTCCCGTTCAAAAAGGCGTTGTGCCAGTTATTCATCACGTTTCACCTAAAAATGACTCAGATTACCTTGAGAGATGAAGCAGACAGGTTTTATCACAAATGTTTATATTTAGAGCTTTTATGTTTGTATTAAAGAAAAACTGTTATAGAAATAAACATTGCGCTAGAAGCTATTTAAAAAAAAACAAAACACTAATAATTAAAAAACAAAAAGTGATAAGTTAAAGGTTAAAATAGAATCAAAATAAATTTTGATCTTATGTTTATTTTTCACAACACCCTTTTACTTTATTTGTGTTCCTTTTAGTACGAGCCTGGTTTCTGCTGTTTAGTAGAATTATGTCCCAAGATATTATATATGTATATACAAGACAGGCACGATAGACGGCAGTATGGAGAAACAGCCATTCTCATTGACTACCTCAAAATTTAGTCACTTGGGGTTCTGTATATTAACCTGATGCAATGCCAAGCGGAATTTCTATCTAACATGCTACTACCTCAGAAGTACTTCAACTGAAGTACGAGTCAAATGAAGAAGTTCATCTTTTCATACCAGTCAGTTCGTACATTACCAGAGGCGTAAGACGATGCTATGTGTGGCAAGACAAGTACATCCTGGTTTAGAAGGGGTTTGTAGATACAGCGAACTTCTTAAACGACATGAATACGCATGAATGCACGGAGGACATCCTGCTTTGGTCTGGCATGGTTTATTTATATTGTCACTTCGAAACGTGGGCCTACACACAAATATTATATGAGATTTACTAATTGTTTTGTTTTTTCAATTATGTAGTGATTAAACAAGCTAAAGTTCTTATTGGTCAAGGAACCACTAGTGTCTAGAATGTAGTGTTATATAAATAATTGACTTAATTTGGACCTTGATTATATACTTACTAAGTTGGGTTCACTCCACTGCAATCCATTCCATTAAAATATACTTCAATTTGTAGATAGAATAACAATCGAAATACATATTTGTAATAAGTTTCTTATGTGTAATAAAAATCACAATAAATGTAACATAAAACATGCGTTTCAAAAATAAGATTGGACAGAACAAAAACTGCTTTAAATAAAAAAATCAGCTGCTATTGTAATGCTATAAAAATAATCTATTTAGTTGCGAAGATTTCACAACAGAAAGTTGAGCTTTTGGAATGAAAATATTATGATTGAAATTTTAATTTTTCTCGGTGAATATTTACTAAAAATATCTTTCTAGAATTCTTTCTATTCTGTTTTTTATTCCCAAAATTAATTATTAATGTTATAATATTGTACATTCTCTATACTTTTGAAAAATCAAAATAATGCTGTTTAATATTCATGGCTTACTGTGTACTTTTTCCACTTTAGCTATATTCGCTTTGGCCTAAAAGAATAACGACTTAAAGCATTTTGATATAAAGCGTAAATTTTTTTTTAACTCATATATGGATGTATATGTATATACATAATACCTAATTATTCGTTTTTTAGTCGCAATTTCAATTCGGATTACATCAGAACATTTTACACATGAGGTATAAACTTTGTTATATTTTAAACTAGCTAACACGCGCGGTTTCGCTCGCGTGAACTTTGTGCAAAACCTAACAGTATTAATGTATTTACCTATTTATCACATGGAATTAACCCCTTCCTCCCATACCTCGGCAAAGCCCACTCTATAGAGAAGGAAACATCGCGGCGCGCGAAACGTTTCGTGTACCTATAGCGTAGTTTTATACTCATCACTTCGAAATGAAATATTCATAATTAAATGATATCTGCTTAACGAATTGATCAAATTTAATGATGTACAGACAAAAGATTATCTACTTGAAATTATCTCGATGATAAAATACTTTAATTTCATAAGGATTCATTTAATCATACGAAAAAATGCATCTAAAGTGGATATTTAATTGTTATAGATAGAAACGTTTTTGTAGATCTTTTTTAGTCCTACAATTCAGTACCACATTATTTCGTCTTCCCTTTAACCATTTGAGCAGCGTACGCGAAGAAAGGAAATTTTTGGGAAGATTTTTTACACCTTGGTTAATATAACCTGTTTTTCTGAACATGTCCAAGTTTTTTTGAATTTTTTTTAGCTTTAGTTATTCCTGATAATGTAGCTTTCTATTAGTGAAAAAAATGATTAAAATCTGTATAGTAATTTTGGAGCCTTTTCGATACAAACAAACAAACAAAAAACTTTCCTCTTCATAATATTAGAATAGAAAATAAAAATTCTATCGATAATTTCTGAAAAATGTGTTTCAGCCGGCAGCGAGTTGTGAGTTGGCAAACAAATGCAATCATACATGGCAGCCAGTATGTGGTCAACAACAACATGAATTAACTAAAAGGCTATTTATCGATGAGTGTGATATGCACGAGTATAATTGTGATAACAAAATATGTAAGTGAAAATTATGAATAAACAGTGGATTGAGGAGCTCATCCAGCACCAGGAAAGATACCACAATAAACAATAAAATCCAAGTACAATAATGTAACACCAAAACTCCACAGACTATGGTTGCCTGACCGAAAATATTTGAAAAAACAGCGCCGTGTAACACAATCGTTATACAATTCTAACAATTCTTACAGCATCATGGTAGAACTATGCTTCGCCATATTTGTACCGGCTCGATCGGAGCGATCCACGGCTTTAAAGAAATTCGATATTAAGCAATTCTTTCGTTGCTTTACACCGAGTGAGTGAGGTTCCCGGAGACTCAACCTCTCCACCCGTAACTCGTTATGTCTTACGTGTTGTAGGCGCTGATGGTCCTTTACTATCAGGTGACCATCAGCGCCCATAAAAAAGAAGAAAACAATTATCTTATGAATTTTGTCAGCGATTTTTTCGTATCTGACCATAAAGAAGGTTTTAGTAAACACATTTCATCCCCTGACAGATATATAATGTGTTACTAGTACTAGTAAATTTTAGAGTTATGAATTACACTTTTCAGCATACATCAAAGTTACTTTGAAGACATGTGCGTATAAATGTACACGTAGTGAACTTAATACACCAAAATTTAAACCCCCTGCATCCATTACGACTGATACTACCGATACAGAAACTACTACAGCACAGTCCAGTACTACCGACACAGGACTCACTACAACTCATGCTACAACACTGTCCAGTACTACCAAAACAAAAACCACTACAACTAATAGCGCTGAAACTTCTTCAGAAAATAATTTTATATCAGAAGATCCTGTAACTATAACACCTACTTCTTTAGAACCAGTAAGTACTGTAATAACTACTACTGTCAGTACTACTACTACTCCTACTACTACTAATGAATCAACTATTATAGAGACCACAAAAGTAACATCTAATGAAATTGAAACAGACGAAGAAACCACTACTGAACCTCAGACATCAGCATATACAAAGAAAAGTACAACTGGTATACTTCGAAACTGTACTGATATGGATAAAGATTGCTTAGTGCCCTCTACTTGGGAAACTACTCATGCAACAGAAACCAGAGACTTTTATCAAATAATTAGAGAGCGTTTCGGAGACAAAGTGAAATTTTTAAAACACACTACCCATTTTGCAAGGCGGTATAAATAGACCGCAATGAGCTGTAAACATCACTTGATTTACAATACGTCCTGTGCGAATTTACAATTAAAATAATTACATTTTTCTTTGTGGTACTATTTTGTAGTCAATCTAATGACATGTTTTTGTAATTAAAATATACACAAATTTTACCATAAACTAAAGCAGTTAGTTAACGTAAGTAGACTTCGTAAATTTAATTATATAAATGTATTAAAATGCTTAACATGAAGACTAATTAAATGTACGCTTAAAAATTACTATTAGTAGCGTTCTAAGAAGGCTGCAGTATTGTTACGTTGAATGGCAATGTTAATTCTTTGTGATAGAAAAAGTCCCGCAGTCTGGTCTCGAGCAGTGTCAATCAAAATCGCTTCGCTCAGTGGAAATGTGGCATTTTCATTTTTTATTCCTAGAATACATCCTGTGTCGCAGGGCACTTTACAAATATACATGAAACGGACACTAATAATACCCAGACTCAGAACAACAATTTGTGGACCGAACAAAGTATTGTCCCATGTGGGGATCGAACCCACAACACTCATCGCAGTAGAAAGCGGCTAGGTAACCGCTTCATACAAACATTTATATAATTTAACTATTTTGTTATAATCTTCAACGTATTAGGACAGACATTGAAGGCAAAACGAATCGGAGACAAACTTTCCCTACCTCAAGTCTTCAATTATTGTGCGAGCTTCAGTAACTGCTTGAGTAAAATACAACAACAAAAATAATTATTTGAGCATTTACGTAACTTCCATTTTGTCTACATAAATAAGATTAAATCAGTTTTATTTAACAAAGGAGTTGAAATTAGATATTTGATAATGTGGGTTGTGTTATTACACGCTTTTTTTATTGGCTTCACCCGTATGTTTGTTTGTTTGTAACCGACTCCGTTGGGCGTGATTTTGACTGACTTTGAACGGTCAGATTTTGTTCAATCTTTGTAGATATATGGAGGACCGATGACAATACACTAATATAAAATAAAAAATAAAAATAAATAATATTTAAAAAAATTTACAGAATTGACTTAAAGACTAAACATGTGTGAGTGCAATAATCACTTACAGGCTAACACCATCTAGTTTCAAATACATCCTGCAAATATTGGCTTGATCTAATCAATAATACATCACCTTATAGTCTCGTATCGTATTCACAGTGTACGAATAATAATATAATGATAATAATATTTGGGCATCTAATACACAACACCATCTAGTTTCAAACTAAGCAGCGCTTGCATTATGAAAGCTATATTGACTGATAGAACACTGATATAATTTTTATGTTAATACATTTATATTAAACATAGAAAACACCCAACCTCCGAAACACATTTTTGCAGATCACACTAATAAAATAAATAAATGCATATTTATGTATGTACGAGTATATGTGTAAATGTACACGTAAATTATGTTAGATTTATATATATCAACTTATTACAAAAAACCTTTGAAGCAATTGTTTGCTACTGGAATCTCTTTGCACCTTACAAGATTTCTACACTATTCAAAGGCTACCTGACAGAGAATGCCCAGGGTATTAAGTCTTGGGCACGCCGTCATCGCGGCGGTAAGACCCGTTATGGAGGATTGGCTCGAGAGGCGTCACGGGACCCTCTCATACCGACTGACGCAGGTGATCACTGGGAAAGGATGTTTCGGGGATCACCTGTGTCTGATCCGCAAGGAGCCAACGCCTGAGTGCCACCACTGCGATGGCCAGACCGTGGACACGGCTCTCCACACGCTGGCAGAGTGCCCGGCGTGGGTTGAGCAGAGGCGAGACCTCGTGGCGGCCATCGGAGTGGAAGTTCTCTCGCTCGATAGCCTGATTGCGGCTATCGTGCGGAGCGATAGTGCGTGGAACTCTGCCGTCTCCTTCTGCGAGCAAGTTATGCTCGCGAAGGAGACGGCGGAGCGGGACCGGGAGAGGTTTAGGACTCTCCCGGCCCGCCAGGCCCGGGAACGGGCCAGGTACCGCAGGCGACTCAGGCGCCGGAGGTCGCAGAACGACCTCCGTCCTCCATAAGCGCAGGCCTGGGGGTGACAGGTGAGGCCATCTGTGACCCTAGCAGAAGCAGGCCGGGGTGGCGGCGAGCGCGTTGCGAAGCGCGCTCGCTTTCAGGGAGCACAGGGAACATGGGGTTCCCACACGGGGGGAGGGGTCGTCTACTCGTCTGTAGATGACCCGAGGTATGTCGGGGCACCAGGGACTTCCTTTCTAGGGTATACCTGGTTCCCCGACTATTAGTACCCGAGACGGCGTGCGGTTTTAGTCGGTTCGAGTCCGACATGCCACCGACAGGTGGTATCCGAGGGGATTTCCGCACGGAAAAAAATAAAATAAAAAAAGGTGGTATCCGAGGGGATTTCCTAACGGAAAAAAAAGGGCATTAAGTCCGCAGATGTACATAAGTGCACAAAGTTGTAAATAAAATAAATATAATCGGTTTGGTTATGTATATCGTGACTACTTTAATTAGTTATTATCTATTCTAATTAATTTAATTATGGAATTGCGTAGTCTTAATTGGAAATAATTGGACATGGCGAGTCAATTAGATTGTGTTGACTTCACGTAAATTGAATTAATTAAATGTCTATATTGTAATTTATTTCATGAATAAAATTATTTATTGGGTAAATTAGAAATGAAATGCTTAAAGAATTGCAAATGCATTTCAAGGAAGTGCTGTAACTATTGGGGGCAACAAGACATTTCAAAATACATGTGATCTCGTATTACTTGATATCTTAAAATCGAGATAAGAAAGATGTTAATGTTAGACTATTATTAATGCAATACAATAAATTGACGGCCATTTAACAATCGTATATTCTGTTGTAAATAGTAAATTTATAGTTTCTTTGTTTGGCATTTATATATGAGGTTTTTAGTATATAGAAGGCCTTTGAAGAACTAGTTGAAGCCCGGAGTGGGAAGCGTCGCGTGTACGTGATATCGTTAAAACTCACGGCCTGATCAAAATAACAGAGAACCGTTGGGAGCTACTTCTTTAGTTTACATTACACTCAAGAGCAATGATTTCGATTCACATAGAGCTACCCCAAAATCTCGGAAACAAACTGTAAGTATCGTCATAAGAGTTTACACAACCTATAAAATAAACACTCAAATAAATTAATTTACTAAAAACAAACAGAAATAGAAAAACACCAATTCGTGACATTTTTATTTAACCATTTTCTGTAAAAAAAAATATGATATTTTATTAGTACTCAAGCCAATATCAAAATTCTAATATGAATGCAACACATTTCTGCATATCTCAAATTTGCACACCTATATACGAGGTTATAACTCAACTCTCGCAGCATGGTCGGGGGATTGTTTTGTTGTCTACCTCATCATCCGAGTTCGTTCAAGCATATCTGCACCAGGTATGGGTCCAGGCTGCGTGATGGCCACTTCGTTCACAGTTATTTAAACCTAACTGTATGAAGAATTCAGAATCCCCCCGGATTCATTGGTTTTGAAGTTTTTTTTTGTTTCTTTGCATAGTTAACTCACTTTTATTAGCTTGGTATGTATATATGTATGTAACGGAATATTCGATCATGATTTTGACCCACTTAAAAAGGCCGAATTTAATTGAAACGTTTTTATCAAGAACCGATGACAATGCAATAATTTAAATAGTTTGTCCCGATATCCTTATCAGGATCTTAAGGACGCACGGCTTTTTCCATACCTAAAATACGGTAGTGTCTTTTGCCACGTACTAAGGTGTGATAAACTTACTTGTTGATTTTTTAGTCCTAATAAGATAATAATCATAATTAATGACTAAAAAAGGAAAAATAAATTATAGTTTAAAGAAACTAAAAAACACGCTTTTGAATCAGGTGCTTTCAAGATATTTTATAATTTACCTTTACTAATATTTTTCAGTAAAATATTTTTACAATAATTGAGATCTAGTACCCCACGCTTTTTTTACGATAAAATGTTTTTTATTTTTGAAGTTATAGAAAATTATTTCCGACTTTTTGCTTTTGACTTTTGACTTTTGTTTTTAAACTATAATTTATTACGATGCAGTTTGTCCATGAGTGTACTCGTATGTAAGTGGTCGCTCGATATCCTAAGTTAATGTGATAAAGCTAACGGAAATTGAAATCGATTAACTTTGCATTCGCTAGCTTATATCACAACTAATGGTCCCTGTACCAATTTATAGATAAAATATGTAAATCAACATTATATTTCCGATCCGACAAAAGGTTTTCATTAGCAAGTCATCGTCATCGTCAACAGCCTTTAATAGTCCACTGCCGGACATAGACCTTGGTATAGGGTTTGTGTCAAGTTTTCCTTCTCTTTGCTGTGCTGTTGTCCTGCGTAGTTTGCTCCCTTAGTTGGCTCTTACGGCACCCATGGGATAGAGTGACATTCTGATTTCTTAATCCGTCACAGTACGGACGATTAGCAAGTAAAGAAACCCTAATAAAATAAGATAATTTGGTTGATAGACATACGTTATAGATAACCCTGTATTTTAGTTGACTTTGCAACCCTACAAAAGGTTGTCTGGAAGAAATCGTCGTGAATTGCGCCGATGGTGATATTTAATGACAAAATTAAATAAATACACAGTAGATTTACTATAAATATCGGAGGGGATTAGGGCTGTCAACGAAGAGATAATTTACGAGTATGATACGGTGTATGTTTTTACATGGTGTTTGTTCTATAAGGTTGAATACCCCTCGGACCGTCACCCCTCCGGGGTTTGCGGCGGGGTGGTGTGTCGGACTCGGACCGACTAAAACCACACGGTGTGCCACTCTGCGCCTGTAACAGGAGGGATCCGGGAACAGCTGTTGTTAAGACATCCGGACCCCTCCTAGCGCCAGCCCGCTCCTGGTGCGGGCTCCGTCTCAGTGTTGTTCCTCTCTTTAGGCGACGTCCGGCACACGCGTACGCCGCCCCCTCGCGGCTGGCCAACTAATGCGGGTGGAGGGGAA